ATTAACATTTTAATATTTATATTAATTTTTTAATTAATTGTTTATTATTGCCCTCCGAGCATGCTACTGAACTGTCCAATACATGAAAAATATGTTACGTACATACCTGATAAAAAATTTAATTAGAATTAACAAAAGCAGTATGTAAACAGAATTACAGAATGCACTTGAATGAACGTAAGAAGCAGCAATACCGAACTACTGAGGCACAGACGGAAAGAACTGCACGATCCTCGCTGTAACCACAGTATAAAGACTAAATATGTAGATACAGTAAAGACACTCGCCCCACTGTAGAAATTGCCGCCACCAGCGCGCAGTCGATGCGCGAAATTAGGCTACAAGGGGCAGCCAAAAAACCCATACGTCCTGTTTGAAATCATATTCCCGCACTACAGGTTAAATTAGAAAATGCCCCTCGTAGGAGTCTCGATGCGTAGCGAAGTTGGCACTTGCACCGGGAAAAGGAGGCGTGGTGACTGAATTTTATTAGCGCTTTGTAGCTACCGACATCAAAGGACATGGAAAGACCCGCTTTTAAGTGTCTCTACTGGTCTGATATAGTCTTTTTACTGTGCTGTGACTATACTCTTGCACTGCAAGCTAAATATGCGTGTCAACATGTGTTTCTGTTGCCGCGTGTTGTATTTCTGTTGCTGCAACGTTATCAGTACCACTATGTCAAAAAAACTGCCGGTTGCCAAAGTATAGGTATTAGGTACTAATACAGATAATTGTTTTCGTAAAAAAATATAGTTCTATTTTTATAAATAATATAATTTCATTTCACTATTTTACTGGTACCTGATTCTTGTTGAAGAAAAGCCTTATATTTTTTATTGTCAAATAAATTTCTTTGAATTTGGCGACCCCGAAAAATTTTCTCGCAACCCCTCTGGGGGTCGCGACCCACGGTTTGCGCACTACGTATATTTTTTGTATTTTGATAGAGTCGAACTCCAGAAGCAAGCAGTGGAGGAACAGACGACGAAGAAGAAGACGAAGACCCAGAAAAACTTAACGATGGCTTAGAGGGAACCTCTCGAGGAATGGTTAAGGGACCAATATTCCTGAAGTACTTTCAAACTGGTGCCAATTTATGCCTTGCGTTCACACTTCTCCTATTATTTATATGCACACAATTCATAGCCAGTGTCAACGATTATTTTGTTCCTGTCTTGTAAGTTTTATGAAATATTTTTACATTTCTTGTTCTCTTAAATGAGCAGTACATAAATTGAAAATAATTTCAGAGTAAATGCAGAAGAAACACGACATTATTTACTTACACAGAACAACTTAAACACTACCAATGATACTATGACAGAAGATGTAGATATTTCTTCCATGTACAATTACATGTACATTTACACAGGCATAGTCGTGGGTTTGTTCTGCATAGGTATCACTAGATCGTTGACTTTTTTCAAAGTATGCATACACTGCAGCCAAAAGTTGCACGATATGGCCTTCAGTGCTTTAATTAGAACTGGCATGAGGTTTTTCGACACGAATCCAAGCGGTCGAATCCTCAACAGGTTCTCCAAAGATATGGGAGCCATCGATGAACTGTTACCAAAGGCTATACTCGATGCTGGTCAAATTTGCATGATGATGTTTGGCTCTCTGACACTATCATGCATCATTAATCCTCTTTTCTTAATTCCTATTCTATTTTTGGGTACAGTCTTCTATTGGATACGAAAAGTATTTTTAAAAACTAGCAAAAACATTAAAAGAATGGAAGGAATGAGTAAGTGATATTATTAAATGATTTATATAGTATAAGGTATTCTTTGGTAATCAGAATTTTTTGTCATAGCTCGATCTCCTGTGTTCACTCATCTAAATGCTACACTGAATGGATTGACTACTATAAGAGCCTACTGTGCACAGGATATACTGAAGAAAGAATTTGATAAACTACAAGATGTACACACTTCTACTGTATATATGTACATGGCAGCTAGTACTGCCTTTGGGTTCTCATTGGACATTTTCTGCTTCGTTTTTACATCATTGGTCACATTTAGTTTCCTCATATTACAACAATGTGAGAATTAATATATTTTTTTATCATAGAATAATTTTTTAATAGACAGTAGATATGAAATATAAATTTTTCAACAGCATTTTCTGGTGGAGAGGTGGGTTTAGCTATTACTCAAGTGATGGCCATGACTGGGATGATCCAGTGGGGCATGAGACAAAACGCTGAAGTAGCTAACCAAATGATGTCTGTAGAACGAGTATTGGAGTACACACAAATCACACCAGAGCCTAACTTGCGCGACAGAGGAAAGTTTGCGAAGAAAACTGAAAAACAGATTGCACTTCCTGTTAATGCTCCAAAGTACTGGCCCACTGATGGAATGATCAGATTTATAAATGTTTACATGAGATATGCAGAAGAGGATCCTCCAGTATTGAAGAGCTTGAACATTGTTATTTATCCTGGAGAAAAGGTTCATTGGCCTTCTGTACAATTATTAGAGAAATATAACGAAGAAAAATATTATAGTTATAATATTTTACAGATAGGTATAGTGGGAAGAACTGGTGCAGGAAAATCGTCCCTAATATCAGCCCTATTTAGATTAGCCAAAATTGAAGGAATAATAGAAATTGATGGTATAGACACTGGGTCTATTTGCTTGGAAGATCTAAGACGTCATATATCAATCATTCCCCAGGATCCTGTTTTATTCTCTGGTACTTTAAGACGTAACTTGGATCCTTTTGACGAATTTACGGATAAAGCTCTATGGGAAGTACTTGATGAGGTATGTTAATAAATTCAGATATCACTTTTAATTTTTATTTCAATGAAGTGAAATCTTTAATGATATACTTTTGTTTTTTATTATAGGTGGAATTAAAGGATGCTATAATCACTGCCGGTACAGGATTACAAAGTCGTGTATTAGATAGAGGTAGTAACTACAGTGTTGGTCAAAGACAGTTAGTTTGTCTGGCCAGAGCTATTTTAAGAAACAATCGAATACTCATGCTTGACGAGGCGACTGCTAACGTGGATCCACAGACAGACGCTTTAATCCAGCATACTATAAGAAAGAAATTTGCCAAATGCACTGTACTTACTATTGCTCATCGATTAAACACTATTATGGATAGTGATAAGGTTCTAGTTATGGATAAGGGCCGCATGGCAGTACGTATAATTTTTTTTCTTTGTCAAAAAAATAAATTAAAATTTTTATTGATAATAAACTCTTAATTTTCAGGAATACGACCACCCACACATGTTACTACAAAATAGCTACAGTCAATTCACTTCGTTGGTTAAAGAAACCGATCGCGCTATGTACGATCAATTAGTTAGGGTAGCCAAGCAATCTTATATCGCGAAACACGATGAACGATGATTATTGTTGCAAACTGGCTTGTTCGTTTACAATTAACAAGCCACAGCTTATATGGCTTTATTGAGCAAAAGTGAAGCTTCTAGGAAGGTTAGGGTCAGAAAGTGGAAGATGGAGGATCATTTGTGACGTCTTCGTTATTAATCAGCCCCTTACGGTAGAATAAAGCTATCGCAAATATTCTTTCATAAACAATGATAGGTGATGATCGAGGCAGTTTTCCCCGTAATACTTTTATTGCTGTTGGCGCACTTTCACCTTAATTTAATTTTTAATTGCGCCCTTCCACCTTTTTATACCTTTTACGTACTTCCACCTACATGATTGAATATCTATCACCTGTCACGCGTGTTACGTAATAAAATCTGCTGTAATAAAAGGATTTGGCGAGGACAGTGTAGTAGGGATGGAAAATCCACATTCTTACCGCTTATTTGTATGCGCGTTAAAAGCTTCACTTTTGCGCGATGAAGCAATCTAATACTAGATTCGTGGTTTTTCACTGATTTTAATCCTACAATAGTATCACTACATATATTCGTGGAGACGTATTTTTATATTCTTGTCCATGCAAAATGTTATATGACTTTATTCCAGTACTTCCTATAAAGTATAAACAACACATCAAACACTTCCAACGAGTACTTATATATTTTTTTACTTGGGATTTTACACGTTTACCTTGGGGAATTTTGCATTCTGAAAATTTGCAATAGCTCAGAGACGCATAGATGCCAAATAAACTTATAAGATATTGATAAGAGTTAATATAAGAATGTTTAGTCAAGAAATATTGTAATGTAGAATTGTATATGGATTTTTGAAATGCGATTTGTATCCGCGTAAATGAAAGTGCAACATTTATATATAAGGTATTATAAACGCAAAATGTACTGTAATTTTATATATATAATTATACATAGCAGTATATATTTTATAATACAAACTGGTCATTCGATTGATCGAAGTAAGTACGTGCTTAATACTGCGCTCGATCGATACGCCGATAGGATCGAACAATCGATATACATCGATCAACCGATACGGTATATTCGTCGAACAGTGAGATAGTGTTCATTCATAATTCGCTATTTTTCGGAGATTATAACTATGTTATTATATTTTTTATGTATATGTAGGTATATACGTCTATTAATCTCTGTTGTATTATATTCAATTGTAAATAAAATTATTTACTTTTATACGTTAACGAAATATTCAATTCATAAATAATTTATTATTTACGATAAATTTGCAAACTTTTAGTATTTAAAAATGAAGTATGGATCTTTAGCAGACAGTGGAGGGGGAAGAATTTATCAGTAGTCAGTAGCTTCTTATCCAAAACAAAATAAACGGAGAACAACTCCAAGAACTACATACAGGGTGTCTCATTTTAATCAATACGTACAATTATCTTCTGAAATAATTATAAGGTCCGTTTATACTATCGACAAGCCGTGCACAAGCCAAGCAGAACGAAGGCACCGTCGAAACAAGTATTAATAGTATTTTATCATTATTTCTTATTATTCGTTAATATATATATACAAAGCCCAATAAGCGAATGCACTACGATTGACTGTACTGTCATTTGAAAAAATTAACTGCGCAACGATGCTAACAAGGCTCGTCCGACATTCACCCTATCGGAAAGTGAAGATTAAACAAACCGCAATGGAAGATGAAAAATTGATTGATTTAGTAAGAGAACACAATGTTCTTTTTCACTTATCACAAGACATATTTTACTCAAGAGTGCATAATAGAAGTTATGAAAAATAAAGAAAAACATTGAAAATTTTTAAAACTTCCAAAAATTTTACTGAGCTAAAATATGTAATTTTTATCAGAATATATCTTCGATACAAGTTTTTGATAAATTATTTGAATGTAACTCTCCCACATTGTCCGTAAAACGTAAGCTGTCCCTCCACATTGTCCTCAAATAGTGTCTCTCCCTTTCAAGCTATTAGGTCGTTAACTAAGTTCTGCGGATTGCTTGTAGATGGTTGTAGTGTAGACTGAATTTACATTTCACGCCGATTTTCTTTTGTTTCTCTTATATTGGCCATTGTGCTATAATAAAATGCGTAGAGAAGTTCAATCCTGCAGCAATAAATGTTTGTTTTTATTGATATAAAATGATACCTGAAAAAAAGCATATTCGTCATTGCACTTTGCTGTTCTTTAATTTGAAGAAAACAGCAGCAGAAACGAAACGATTGATTGAAAAAGCCTATGGTGGTGGTGTTGTATCCGTAGACACATGTGAGAGATGGTTTGAACGGTTCAAAAATGGCGATTTCGACTTGAAAGACAAAGAACGCGTTAGACAACCGGCAGTTATGGAAACTGATGACTTGGAAGTGTTGTTGAATGAGGACCCGGCTCAGTCGACTAGCGAACTTGGAATAAGTAAGGTTGCCGTTTGGAAACGATTGAAACAGCTTGGAAAGGCACAGACAGAAGGAAACTAGATTCCTCACATTTTGTCTGAAGCTGCAATTTTGAACCAATACAACATCTACGTTTCTCTGCTGTGCCAATTCAAGAATAAAAGTTTTTTGGGCCGCATTGTCACCGGGAACGAAAAATGGATATACTTTGACAATCCCAATCGTAAAAGGAGTTGGTTGGATGCAAATCAACCCGCTCCGCATACTCCGAAACGGAACATCCGCGGTCATAAAGCCCTCCTTTGTGTATGCTGGGATGAGAAAGGAGTAGTGTATTATGAACTACTCAAATCTGGCGAAACAATCAACGCCCAACGCTACAGTCATCAATTAATGAAGCTTAATGCAGAATTAATTGATAAACGACCGTTAACCCTTTGGGTACACATTTATTTGAAAATTTTTTTGCACTTGGAGCACATTTAATTTTCTGGGCAAGTAAAAGCAGTAGATTTTATGCAAAAATTCATTTATTTCGTATTATTCATCATATATACTCCTACATAATATTGAAATAACTTTAGGCAGTTAGTATTACAAAATACTCTTAAAACAAATAAACTCTGGTTATAATAAATAGCAAATTATTAATAATTTTGAAGCGTGTGATACTTTTCAAAACAGGTTGGTAAATGCAGCGGTACTTTGCATTCTTTGCACTGCCAGGTAGTATCCTTCCTAATTTGGTGTTTAAAACAAACATGGCACCTTTTCTGTGGGTGTTCCTTTGATTTAGTTGGTGGAATACATTCGGGGAAGTGCGCCCAATTTTTCGCCTGCAAACGAAGTGGTGTATCGCCACTTACAGAGCGTCCACGACTTTTATAATTTGGCAATGTGATTTTCTCCAATAATTCTTCAGCAATATTCAAACGAAAGGAAACAATGCCTGTTTTAGTTGTGTTGGTAATTTTAGAATGCAAAACATATGCATTATAAACGGCCATATCTAGTAGATAAAAGAACATTTTCCATTATGTGGCATAGTGTTTGAAAAAAATGGAGTACTTATAATTTGCCTTTTTGACCAGTACATTGCCAACTTTGATTTCTTCACTTGAGACATCAAGATACATAAAGCAATATATGCTTTTATTTGCTTTTATTGATTCCAGGTACTTCAGAAAAGCGTTTTACATCAGCTACATTTTCTTTTTCTTCTCAAATCCATCACTGCTTGATAAGCATCTTGTACGTCTTTTACGTCTTGGAATAATTTCACTATCGTTATCACTTTCTAGTTCGATATATTCTTCGTCATTTTCATTTTGAAATTCCCCTTTATCGCTTAAAGGATCATTAAAAAATTCTTCATCAGATTGTTCAAGATCACTACTTTCATTAAAACTGTCGCTATCACTTTGATAAAATATATTCTCTATTTCTGCCATTACGGGGTTGTGTATCCCAAACAAGGTTCACCAAAATACTGAAATTATTTGTTCTGTTGCAACAGATACGCATTACTTTGAAATAAACCAGAATGAACTAGTTAAATCTCGTCTCAGTTTCAACGACGTATCAGAACGTCATGTGCGACTATGCCTAAACAAATGCATGACGTTCTGATACGTCAAATGTAGCCAAAGGGTTAATAGCGTCAAAACCGTCGAAAGTCATTTTGAAAGGGCGCACGCTGCAAAAATCACTGCAGAGACCATATCAGAATTAGAATGGGAAGTTGTTCCTCACCCTGCCTACTAACCAGATGCTACACCTTCAGATTATCATCTATTTCGCTCAATGCAAGACTTCAAAAACCTGGATGAAGTGAGAAATTAGGTGGATAACTATTTTGCCTTTAAGGAACCTGTTTATTTCGATTGAAAAAAAAAATTGTAACAATACTATTTTAATAAATATTTTAAGGTAAAAAATTCGCAGAACTTAGTTAACGACCTAATATTTACTTGGTTGCTACAACTAAACTGTCCAATATTAAAGTAACCTTACTTCGCGCATGGGACGTATTTACTTGAGGCAGTGCTAGAACGTCAAGTTTATGAATGAATACAGCGTTATTTACTTCAGCAATTAAGAATACTTTACAATATGTACTTTGAGAATTTAAATGATTTTGAATCGTTCCCTAAATATTGATTTTTTTATTTTGTCTGATGTAGGAAAATTGAAATAACCAATGCGTGATTTGAAATAGAATGTTTTATTGCGTTTCGCGTGGGTTGTTTGTTTAGATGTCTCCAGAGTGACTTTCCAAGCAGGACTGGCTTTTCGACGAGGAAAACCCTTTTTCCCCGTTGTTGCTAATGCGCCTCTCCAAGGGCGTCGAGAGCTGATTTACGACGCACGTGGCGTCGCACTGCTCGGGCTCGATACATATCGCCTACTCGTCTTGCGGTAAACATTCGGGCTGGCCGCCCGAATGCCCGACTTGACGGCACACAGCGCAAATGGCCGATTTAGCTGGCCAAAATTAAAAACTCCTTCATATCGACCTTTTTCGATAGAATATGATAATTTAATATAATAATAATTAATTATATTGTATGTAATAATAAATGTACAAATATTAATTAAATATAATTGTTTTTATATACGCAAAAAGTTGTATATTGATATATGTATAAGAAACTATATTACATAGTGTATAATAATATGATGCGTAATAGAGAATAGTAATAATAACAATAATAATGTTATGAATTTCATTCTATACCAAATGAAAACCGCACGAAATTATGGACTGAAATAATACATGTACAGTAAATTCTCTACAAGAGTCAGTAAGTTTGGATTCTACAAGTGACAGTATAGATGGTCCTACGCCTAGGTCTGCGTCCTAGCTGCGCTCATGTTATCTCGCTCGCAGTCAGACAAGCATGTAACGCTACACCACTCGGATTCTATTACGAGATTTCACGGCTCGACAATTCAAAATAGAAAAATATAATTTCTTTAATTTTACTTTTTTTCATCAGAAATTTGTTTTAACATGTTGGTGAGATTCTTTTGATGAAAATGACACGATATAATTTGAACAACATTTACTTATTAACACGTTCACTGTCGCGCCAGATTTACAGGTTGCTGTCAGGCGGCCACAAGAAAATACATTTTAAGCATAGGATTATAGTATTATGCTTTATAATTTTTTTTTTCAATTGAAAATAATGTCTAGCTAACTATGACGTTCCAAATTTTTAGTTGACAACATTTATTTTATTTTAATTATTCAAAACATTTGAGGCACTCCAGTCACTGATGACCACCATGGCCATATCGAGGAAACAATCTAACGTAAAAACTTATTGAGTGATTAATTTAATTTCATAATATATCGCTTTAGCGAGCC